GAAAATAGCAGTTACACTGATTACATCCAAGGGTATATATAGCGTAGATGTCGTCACGCCCAATCAATCGAATCGAAATAGATACGATCTGCATCCTCTCAGTGATCCAGGTCACGGTGGACGAGTTCAACTTATTTCAATTCAAAAATTGTGTGTAGTTAGTTACCTACATGTCAAATCTATACATATAATAAAATTGTAACTAAGCCGAATCTGTACATTAAATATTTTTTTGAAAAGCTTTTTGAAATAGACATTATTATCGATACAAAGTCCGAATATAGTTTTTAGAATTTTTGTCTGTCTGTTACCACATCACGAGAAAACCACTGGACAGATTTTGATGAAATTTGGTATGATGATAGCTGTTTATTCGGGTCAACATATAGGATACTTTTTACCGCGGGAAAATATCTCATTTCTGAGAAAAATACAAAAACTGCATTGTAAGAGTATACTAATATGTAAAACCTAAGAATTTGGTTTTTGGTCATCTGAACGCGGGCGGAGCCGCGGGAAATGTTAGTGGTAAATATAACTTTAAAAGTACACCTTTTTCTGTACATATATTTATAAAACACTGACCTTTAGACAGAAAGGGCGACACTTTGACCTAAGCTTTGTAGGTAAGTAGTAAGACAGCAAGCTGTGGTCAATCACGAAAATATATACATAAATACTACTCACTAGCTTCCACGTGGTTAAAAGGAGAATAAGTATTCAATTAGGTAATATTTAATTACAATGTTTTAAACTACGGTTTCTTTTACGTAGCGCAATAGATGATATCTATTTTTATATACTATTAAACAATCTGTATTTTATTATTGAATAGTCCCCCGTATTGTAAGAAGTCATTATTTAATTTTCAGATACTTTAAATATATGTAAAAAAATAATCTTACTACCAATACATTTTTATACATATGTAGTAGTGTACATTGGATTAAATAAATGTTAAGTTTTCCGTATATAGTAGATACGATGATCAAACAATTAATCAGATTTTGCTTAAATTAACTTAAACTCCATATTTTATAACACATTAAGTCAAGCTTTGAAATTCATAAATTATAAGACGTACATATGAATGGATTTGATTGTAGAGCTCTATTTTAGCTCTGTAAATGTGAGCACGGGTTACCTTCTCGCGACCTAATTTGCGATATTCAAGACGTCGCTATGTCTCAGATGTTTTACAGTAAGTGAAGATATAAACTTAGTCGTGGTTCTTCAAAATAAAATTTAGTATAAAAATAATTTACATATAAAAAGGTTTTATATCGCACAATGCGTTCGTAATTCAAATAACGTTTTTAAATAAGTATGAGGTTTTACGAAATGCGAATCTATTATAAAACATTGTATGTTGTTTGTTTGTTACGCATGCATTCTTATATTATAATATATTATACACGTATCATTTATTTAGATGAATATTTTGTGAGTTAGTGTTTTTATACATACGATACTACTGAACAGATTTTAAATACATAATATTTCACTAACAAAGCTAGACCTATCGTGCAATTCGAGTGGAGCTGGCGAAATTACCTAACAAGCAAATAAATAGTTATCCGTATATTTAATTTAAATAAATTTACCACTGTGAGTGGTGTGAGTGTAAACTGTGAGAGTACAATACTTATAACATATTACGTCTAATTTAAATAAACTTACAACTGTAAGAGTACCAAAGTAAATGAGATAACAATGAGAAACAACAGGGGTCTGATTAAAGCATCTCATTGCAATAGTTGGTAAGGATAAGTGCCCTTTACAGAATACTTTGCTTTGAAGGATTCCCTTACCCGGTGTTTGAGATTGCTTGAGAGATATTTCCATTAGTGCAGAGTGCAGTTTTTGTTTATATTTTATTTTAGTACTATAAAATTGTACGTTTGAAGTTCCCACAATTGTAAAGTTCTGCTTGTTATATTTGAAAAGTTTAAATTAAATGAGTTTCGCATGTTCAGTCGTTTAATAAAGAAGTGATTCTATAAATTAAAAAATAGCAACAGAACTATTACTATATTTTTGTTTAATTATCTGCTTAAAATGCTTTGTTTGAATAGCGTTCTCAATTGTACCTTTTCTAATATAAATGTTCTAATTTTTAAAGCGTGCATTTTTCGTGCCTTATTTCTGAATACTAATATTTATGAATTGCAAGAACGTACAAAGGGCAAATATTACAAATATAACCACTCCACAAATAAAAACGTTACAGGAATTGTTATGGTTTCTTATCCCCTCGAAATATTCTGAGAACTACTTACTGTTCATAAAGAGAAAAATGATTATCAAATCTATTATGGAAGATTAAATTCAATGAAGCATTAACGAAATGTTTAAGTATATCATACGATTAAAATATTATAAAATACTAGCATTGCCCGCGGCTCCGCCCGCGTTCAGATGACCAAAGACCAAATTCTTAGGTTTTACATTTTATTATACTCTTACATTGCAGTTTTTGTATTTTTTCTAAGAAATGAAATATTTTCTGCGGTAAAAAGTATCCTATATGTTGACTCGGATAACCAGCTATCACCACACTAAATTTCATCAAAACCCCTCCAGCGGTTTTTCCGTGATGCGGTAACAGAAAGACAGACAGACAGACAGACAAAAATTCTAAAAACTATAGCTTCGGCCTCTGTATCGATAATGATGTTTATTTCAATAAGATTTTCCAAAAAATATCTAATGCACAGATTCGGCTTAGTTACAATTTTATTATATGTAATACTTTCTTAGATTTACGCGAATGTTTGACATTATTAAATAAAACTATCTTTTCGGATTATTTCGCGGATTTATTTTGATTTTTGGTTCCCGACGTTTCGAATGCTTTACAGCATCCATGGTCACGGGAGAGACTGAGGTGTTACATGTCTTAAAGATATAGTTGTTACAGACAGCCTACCCACAATCAACAAATGAAAATTGCACCAATTACATTACAATATTTTAACTTTAAACATTTTTATAATTTTAATTATAATTGAATATGGAAAATTATTTATTTAATTTTTGCTATTATTTTTATAATTATTACAATTTTAAAAATATTAATTAGTAATCTATATTTAGTGTTGCCATTATTATATTTATAACCATAAAGAAAAATATAAAATATAGTATTAATTATTTAAGCCATATAATTGTTCAATGTGTAATTTAAAAAGTTAAAATTAATTAAGGATTATAATTTTAATTTAGTTTGCTATTATTTAAAAACAACTTACTAAGCAACACTATTAATATATACTTTTACAAATGAAAAATGAAAAATATCAATCTGATAAGCTGTCATTTTGATCTACACAGTATGAACTTACTACAAAACAAACAAACAGACAGACAAGCAGATGTAGTAAGTTCATACTGTGTAGATCAAAATGACAGCTTATCAGATTGATATTTTTCATTTTTCATTTGTAAAAGTATATATTAATAGTGTTGCTTAGTAAGTTGTTTTTAAATAATAGCAAACTAAATTAAAATTATAATCCTTAATTAATTTTAACTTTTTAAATTACACATTGAACAATTATATGGCTTAAATAATTAATACTATATTTTATATTTTTCTTTATGGTTATAAATATAATAATGGCAACACTAAATATAGATTACTAATTAATATTTTTAAAATTGTAATAATTATAAAAATAATAGCAAAAATTAAATAAATAATTTTCCATATTCAATTATAATTAAAATTATAAAAATGTTTAAAGTTAAAATATTGTAATGTAATTGGTGCAATTTTCATTTGTTGATTGTGGGTAGGCTGTCTGTAACAACTATATCTTTAAGACATGTAACACCTCAGTCTCTCCCGTGACCATGGATGCTGTAAAGCATTCGAAACGTCGGGAACCAAAAATCAAAATAAATCCGCGAAATAATCCGAAAAGATAGTTTTATTTATTATATGTATAAATAAAATAATGTATTTTACCCAATTAAGCTTATATCACTTCTACTATATTTAATAAGCTAAGGCCCATATGTTGGGATGAGAAAACGGAACGGTGTTATTTATAAATGTATAACGGTTTCAGTATTTATAGAAAGTACGTTTGAACGTAATCAATGGTTCAACGCTTACAGGAAGTTTACATGATGACTGACATATACAATTCTTACTTTAGTTAACTGATAATATTATTAAACTGCCTCGGTGGTGTAGTGGCTAGCGTGTACGGCTGCACACCGGAGGTTCTGGGTTCGAATCCCGGGTCGGACTAAGTTTAGTTATTGAGTCTTTCTGTATATTAAGTCTCAGTAACAGTCCGGAGTTAGGAAGTTAGCTGTGTTTAACCCCGTGCCTCGGAGAGCACGTAAAGTCGTCGGTCCTGCGCCTTAACTCTCACTGGTCGTTTCGAGTGGTCGTCCCACCGGAGTATGAGAGTATCAGGAATAGAGAGTGCACTTGTGTCTGCGCGTACACTTGTACACTATAATATCTCCTGCACAGTTGGCTAGTCTCAATGAGATTGGCCGCCGTGGCCGGAATCGGTCAGGAGAACATCAATATTATTATGTCTACATTGCCGTACTATTATAATTTGCTGCATCGCTGATTTAAGTTAGTGAACCATTGGATCGATATAATAAAACCATATAATCTATACAGATAAATAAAATTGAAGTGTCAGTTTGTAATGTCCAAATAACAGCTTTTTACTAATACATATGAAAGTATATACGGTACTTATAATTAAAAAAAAAACATTTTTTGTCCGTAAGTCTCTTTCTGTTTGTTCTGGCTAATCTCCGAAACGGCTGGACTGATTTTGACGGAACTTTCACCGACAAATAACTGATGTTATAAGGAGCAATTTAGGCTAATTTTATTTAAGGAAAAGAATTAGGGTTCCTCTCAAAAAAAGAAAACCCAAGAAATTAATGAATTGAAATTAATAATAAATAACATGATTCCCTATCTATGTATGTCTTAAGAAATATAAACAAGAAAATGTACTTACAAATGACCCAATTCATGAGCGATGACGAAAGCGCTGGTGAGCCCTTCATCTCGGTCTATTGCAGCTGACCGAGTTTTCGTGCAAACTCCACCAACGGGGGCGAAGCCCGAGGGTCCCCCGAGCTGCGCCCGAGTTAACCAAACCGCTGCATCCCAACCTGTACTATCTACAATTAATAAAAATGTTAAAATCAATATATAGTAACTTTTCTTTATCGAACTGCTATTATAAACGCAAAAAGTATACAAATATGTGTGTATGTTTTTTACTTCTCTAGACTCAAACAGCAGTCTGGATTTGCATAAAATTTAATGCATGGATAGACCTAAACCTATATGTTACATGCATTTGGGATGCACTCGAATGAAGCAAGGTTAAGTCGCTAGTATTACACAGAGTAGGACTCATTAAAGTACTTTCCAAACTTTTTATATCAAAAATGTTTCTGTAAATAAATTTTGTTATTCTGATTTTAAAGTCGTATTAAATCTTCAAAAAGTAATTTAAGCTTATGTAATGAACGCAATTATTTGAAACAAGTATATAGTAAACACGGCATGTTTGATAGGCGTATCATATAATTTATGAGTACCTACGTTATTATCAGAGTAGCAAAAGAGATAGCTGGTAGGCATAATTAGGTACATCGAGGAACAGCTGATGTGGGACGAAGTATCAATTTTATGCAAGAGAATAATTACGTTTTAATTTTTTTCTGAAATTTAAATAATTGTATGTAGTTTTGGTATTTTGCGCCAAGACTTTTGAATATGTCAGGTAGATATATGAATATTTTATGTTATTACTACATTCTGTTTCAGGTAGAGTTGAACCTACTTACTGTCTCTGCCATCTATAATAGTAGTTAGCAGAGGCTGAAATTAAATGACAGACCTCCTTCTTTAAAAAAGTGTATATTTTAAATTAAAAGATACACTGACCTCAATATGAAATGTTTTTTTTTTAAATATTCCATATATTATATTCCATTCCAATAACCTTAGGGAAAAAAAATTAAATAGCGGAAGTATCAAGTAAAATATACACAAAAAAATAACGGACTACCTGCTCTTTTTTTAAATCTGTCAATAAATCATATTTAACATTAAAAGTTACTAAAAACGGGGTGAGCTAAATAAAACCGTTTAAAAAACAAAATACTTGTCACACGTTTTGAGTCAAATTACATAAATAGAGATTTAAAGCTTAAGCGAAAAGTAAATTCATTGCTTCATTTTATTTACTTATAAAATTATATTTAGTATGTAATCGTAAAACTAACCATTTTATAATTAGAATGATTTACGGCGTACTCTACACGTGGTATAGAGTTGTTTGGAAATAACTAAAAATATTGCATAAACACACGACTCCTAGTCTGGTTTTTGTAAAAAAAAAAGTATAATTCATACTTATAGTGCTTATGAGTTATGGATAAGTCTACTGTACCTGTTATTAAACTAGGTTAGTTCATAAATTATGTTCCAGTTAAAAAACCTCTAAATTAAAAATATTTTTGTAATTTAGTTTGTTATAAAAGCAAAGAAGTTGTATGAATTTTTCACATTGTATGGACAGTTGACTTTATATTTTCAAAATAAGAACTAGACCTGGCCTTGTTATAAATATATTTATAAATAAGAGCGTAACTTATTAAATCTTGGAAGTCAGTTTTAAGCTATTTCTAGTTTGTACGTTTGATATTCTTAATTGTATGATATCGTATAGTGATTTGAACTTTATGTGCGAAATCTGGGATACAATGCAATAATTTGATACTACCAAGCTGATGACGGAGCTAAATGTTGGAGTGTCGAACCCTTCAATGGCTATTAGTAAAACTTTTGATTTTAGGCTTTTTTAATTCGCTTTTTGAACCCCACACTTTATATATGGGCCAAAAATTATTATTTTGTTTATTTTTAATGCAAAATATCTATAGAATTGTATGGTATCAATGTTCTCTTATTTTATCTGTGTATAATTTAAAAATCAATGTTTTATAATATAATGTGGTTATATTCACATATAAAACCTCCAGGTTAATTTCTAAGAAATCTATTGTTAACTGTTACGCCGGCGTGTCTTACGCCTCGGTCGTTGAGGGATATCAAGGCTATAAAATTTTATTTACCTATTTTGTATGATATTTACGATGTATGATGGCTGTGTCCTTTAAAATATATGTGTGATTATTGTATAACCGCAAGAGGTGACGTTTTTAACTTATATTTTTCACACATACCTAGTACGTACTGAATAAATTACCATATTAGACTTTAAAAATGACGATCAATATAGTAATAATAAAACTTGTCACGTTTTTTTTAAAAAAAGGCAGACGATGAATCACAATAATAAAATCATGATGACAGCTACAAGTAGGAAGCTAATTTTTTATCCCAAATAAAGGAGCTGCATATTTAATGCAGTTTAGTCGATTATGATTAGTTACTTGTCTATTTAATTTAATCGAATCACATGATATGATTTTTGGTTGTAAAGGACTATAATGGATTCATCGAATTAGATGAATTATATGAAAAAAATATTGAATTTTTACAAATAACAGTTAAATTTATACCTGCCGGTAGTTTCATTAGGTGTCGGTAATTCCATTTATTTACAGCCTCAAGTGATTTTTTCACATTGCCATGTTTTATTACTGGGTCCTTCTCCTCGTACAAAAATAGCTTGTTGATGACAAGAGTCATGTTTGAATCGAGAGAGTGATCGTTGAAGATGGCACTGACCTTTAAAGTATTACATAAATCGTTTGAGTTACGATCGTGCACTTGTAATTAATTGCAATTCAAGTATCGCATTTCATGAGATGTACAAGTATGGTTGTACTTACGATGTTCATTATGGCTAAGATATAGTGTTTCACCCGTTCCTGACCGTGGAATTTCAACATCGTATGGTCCGCAACTATTGCTAATTCGAGCCATAATCCTTTAACGCCTGTAACAATAAACACAATAATGCATCATCTGCTTTACCATTCATGGTTCCGTACACTACACACACACACACCTGAGACCGGTCTCGTAACGGGAAGGACATTTCTAAAATAATCAACATCGGAATGGTCACTATGTCGGGGATGCACGTGCATTACAGACATTGGCTCATCTTCCTCGAAATCAATGTCAAGGTCAGTGACCGTGTCACCAGTGAGGTTGTACGCCGCTGGCTGCTCCGACAACAGTACATCACGACGTCGCAGCACATGACCGCTGTCTGTATGAGTTGGTTGCAGAACGAAATCCTCTCCATCCACTTGAAGTAGCCCATACAACTGTCCTTCGCACTCCGTCACTGTCACGGTTGACCCTTCTTTATGGAGTACTCTACCCTTATAGAACTGGCACTCATTGTAATATGGAGAACGAATGGCGCGGTTTTCTTGCAGTTCAAGGTGCCAACCAAGTATGTGGAGATGATGAAAGGAACCATGGGCATGGCGGGGCACTCGTATACGCGATGCGCCAGGGGGTATCAATAGGGGTTGCACAGGGGGTTTCCAGGCGTCGATGGCAGCGAGTGTTACGAGGAGCGTCGTCGCCCACAGCCAGCGCGCCATCGTCCGCGCGCCGCCGCGGGCACCGCCTCTCTGGCCGGCGCATGCCACGCTGCGCTCACGCATCTACGCACATGGCGGCTGTCTCGCCGCACGGAAGGTAAACGACTCCGCACTTTATAGATTGCATTGAGCTCCGCCTCATGCGTCACTGGTAAACAAAGGGCGACGCGCGCCATATTCGCGTCTTGCCCGCCGTAATTAGATATTTTATGGCCTCAATTGAATTGAGAGACCTTGCTGGTTGCGTAACTTATGCATGAAGAATGAACATAAAGAGGTTTATTAAATAAAATAATTGTTTTTTTTTAATGTAAATTTATGTATTTTACTACTATTATATATTTTTATGTAAACTTATAAGTATTCGAAAGGGTTTGGCTTATTACAAAAAAGTCTCTAACATTTCCTTCGTATCGTAGTTCTATATTCATTGTACATGTATTGTTATGTTAAAATTTCAAAAATACACATTCTGCGGCAGTGAATAAAAGGGTCGACCTTTTTTGCCAAAATGAAATCAAAGTCTCAGGAATTTAAGCTATTAACTCGTGACAATACCAATATCTCAGGACATAAAAAGTTTACCGCTTTTATGTTTTAGAAAAAATAGACCGATAAAATGTTTGGAGAATGAATATGAATAAGTTACTTGCTACTGCTATTCTCATAAAAGTAATATATACAAAATTAATATTCACCGTCAATAATCACAAGGATGTCGAGTGACCATTATTAATTTTACTAAAGGAGGCCCTCTGTGTAAGTTAGGTGAGTGACCGGAATATTGTAAGTAATGGTAAGTGAAGGCAAATTGCTAATTGAAATGTAAGTCCATACTCGTGCTTGCTCGTTTAAAGGCAAGTGCTCACGGCGGCTGTTTCAACTTTCCTTATATATTATCTGTGAGAATGTTACGGAATAAATGTACCTACGAGTTCTTACTTCACAATCAAGTTCGCATTTTACTGTGAGTGCCCGCCTCTATATGGAACAAGCGCATGACGAGTAGTAGGCACGAGTAGTACGATTCAAGAAGCTAGACGCATTTGGGATTTTAAAAAGAGACATGCTCTCTTATGTAAGAATCACAGAACACGGTCTATTCATAAATTGCCGTTTGATTTTTGAACATAATATTATACATATGTATGTATAAAATAATTTTTATGTCACTTCTATGTAATATTTAGTGTTTAGCTTGTAAATAAATTCATATTTATACTTTACGCAAATGATTTTTTTTAATTATTTATTTGTATTTTATATACCTTATGTATTATGTACGACGTTCATTTATTTCATTTGTAAATAAATTGTAATAGAGGGCAATGTGCATAACGCTTAAAAGTTAAATATTGCTGATGAAACAAGGGATTTATAAAGAAAAATGAAACAATACGTTGTTTCGTGTTACAAGGTCCTAATTAAATAAAGCTCATGTATTTAATTCGATACTGCACATAATTCATCACTCAGTGATATCAATTTAACTGTATACCTACAGTGTTACTACTAGCTTTTGACTGCAGCTCCGCTCATATATTTTCTCGACTCACCGTCGCTCCGCTCGAGTTCGTCTCCTTGATACGTTTTAACGGTTAGTATAGATTTCTCGGAGATTAGATTTTTTCCTGCAGTAAAAAGTATCCTATATAATGAGCCGGAAAACCAGCTATCATTTTACTAAATTTCATCAAAATCTGTCCAGTAGTTTTCTCGTGATTCGGTCATAGACAAACAGACAGACAGACAAAAATCTAAAGTCTAAAAACTAGATTCGTCCTTTATATTGTTAATAATGACTATTTTAATAAGATTTTCCAACAAACATGTAATGTACAGATTGCACTAAATTAGAATTTTATTATACATATGTATAGATACAAACATATACTTATTATGTATGTACTTACTAGCGTTGCCCGCGGCTTCACATATAGTCCAAGCCTATGTTATTACTCTGGTATACATATGATAAGCTATAGTATTGTACAGTTCAATCAAAATCCGTTCAGTACTTTTTGCGTGAAAGAGTAACAAACATTCATCCAACCGTTTCGTATTTATAATATATTCGTTAAATAGGATAATTTATATTAATAAATTTAAATAATTTAAAGTTTCAAATTATATATTTATTTACTTCACTGTAAGAGCTACTTGTGTTTGCTATTGAATGCACCTTGCTTGTCGAACTATAGCACGCGCTTATACTTTATACCTACTGATGTGTAGATTGTAGATAATTGATAGCGTACAGGAATCTAGATACTAATTGGCCGTAGAAGGGTCTCTTTACATGCATAATGTACAACTTTACTGAAATATAATTACAGAAATATAATTACGTAAATACTGTTTCTGTATATTATGTATTTATTTAAGAAGATTAAGGAATTGTTGTATAATGTTTACCAGTTAAATAAAATCAAACTATACATATGTAATGTATCTTATTTCCTATTAATAGGTTTTCGTTCGTCGACAAACCACGCGGACAAAGCCGCGGGAATCAACGAGCTTAGTATAACATTTTAATGAAATATATTATTGCTTATGTAATTTTAATCAACATTAAATGTTATTAATTTTAATTATATTTATTATTTTTCTTGATTATTTATAAAAATAATCAACATATGCAGAGCAAACGAAGACAAATTCTCTTTTTTTTTCTGTAAAGTCGGTATCTCTAAAGAAATCTGCTGAGAATTAGGTATGTGTTTTTGTTAGTGACAAATTCTAGGAAAATAAAAAATGCACATTCAATTATATCGTATTACATAGATAATTTATTATTAAAGAATTCATTGGAAATGAATATAAAACTGTTAATTTATTTACTTTTTAATGTAACACAATATATGTACATACTACTCAACCTTTGATATGTACCTGTAATTTTATTGCTATGTACAGAAGTAGTTGATAGTAAAATTACTAATATTTACTACATCTAGGTAAAGTTAATCTTTAGTTTACTATTAAAAGACACAATTTGTGGATTTTTGTTGTTAAATTTGAATAAATAAGAAAATATTTAAAAATAAACTCAGCAGACAAACACAAACTTTTGCAAAGGTTATAATCTAGCGGCCTACTTTACCAGCGTTAAAATAATCTTCGACCGCTGCCACGATGTCTGGGTGAAGATCTTTCTCATGTGCAAATATACCAAGCGGTCCACTATCGATCAAAGGAGAGTTTTCGCTAAAATGCAAAGTTAACATAATACCTGACTCCTTTGGATTTCCTTCACCATAGTAAATATATTCTAGAATATTTCTCGTTGTGTACTTGCCAATATTGCCATCTCGATAATATCCATTTTGGCTGAACTTTTCCCAAATCGAGGGGTTGCTTAAAATTTCATCAGCTAATTTTCCAACTTCCGCAACACGGATTGATACGTTGTTTATATTCTCATATGTATCATGATAATTCTATAAAAATATATAACAGCAAAATAATAATAATAACCAGATTTATATTTGGTAACTAGCATTGTCCGCGGCTCCGCCTGCGTTCAGATGACCAAAAACCAAATTCTTAGGTTTTACATATTAGTATACTCTTACATGGCAGTTTTGTATTTTTTCTCAGAAATGAAGCACAAAGTATCCTATATGTTGACCCGGTTAACCAGCTATCACCATACCAAATTTCATCAAAATCCCTCCAGTGGTTTTTCCGTGATGCGGTAAGAGACAGACAGACAGACAAAAATTCTAAAAACTATTGATTCGGCCTCTGTATCGAAAATAATGTCTATTTTAATAAGATTTTGAAAAAAAATATTTTATTTACAAATTCGGCTTAGTTAGAATTTTATTATATGTATAGACGTTATAATAAATCAGTGTCACCCAACTGCCGTTCTTTGTCTTAACGAGGCAAACCAACGGACAACCAACGTGTAACTTTATCTCGTTGGCCTTTCAACAAGAAAGTAGAATGAGACGTCATCAAATGTACTTACGTGCAAATATTAATTACTAAATTGGTAAAACAAACACAAATTACCAGTTACGGTACACAAATATATCTGTGTAATCAAAGGTGATAAAAAATTCTCAGAAATCATTATATTTACCTGAAGATTAGTGAGCATGATCAAATATCCAGCAAGATTCATTTTCGAGTGGAGTGTTCGTATACTGTGTTCATTTCAAACTTAAGTAATGCGAGGCTTGTGACAATTCTCTTGTATTTATAATTGGCGTTTGCCAATTCGGAATGATATCCCTAACAAATTTAAAAATAACGTTTAAATTGTTAAGCTATTATAATTCTTTTTACCGGTGAATACGGTTCCTTGCTACGAGAGTCGAATCCTTAGAAATCTTTTGTTTTATTTGTTACAAAAAACGTGTCCAAAGCGTGTATAATAATTTACTTTAACATATCAATGGAAAATAAGCATTTGGATGAATTTTCAAATGTATAGAGTACACGACGCGTGTGACTCAGTCTGTAGTGACCCTACTTGCGGTGCCAGCGGTCGCGGGTTCGAGCCCGCTGGGACCATTCATTAGTGTGATGAGCACGAATGTTTTTTCTATATGTTATATATGTGTAGTGTATCAACTATCTGGTATCCATAACACAAGCCTCGTAGCTTACCATGGAACTAGATGGTGTTGTGTGTTAATGTCCTGACATATTTATAGACTATATAGAAACAGATGTTTTGTAAACATCTTTTATTTTTAGGAAGTTTATAAATTAGCTAAATGAAATTGCATTTAGTAAAACGTTTAATATGAATCAATCAAAAAAATCATAACAAAGATATTTTATGAATTCTGGTATTAATTTTTACTTATGGAAGATATAAAAAGGCAAACCTAATAAAAGAAGGTGGTGATTTGAAGATAAAACATATAAATTGTTAAGTAGCGTATTCCATTTGTCATTCTTTAAAAACATTTCTTAACATTTTACGTAGCATTTACAGTAAATCCCAGCTTAAAAAATATGTTAAAGACCGCTACGAGTACCTGACGTATTTCAGAAATCTTTTCTAGCAATTTGGTTTGCAAATGTGCGCGCGTACTTCACACGCCAAAGTGTCAGTATAACGTAAGAGTATGCGCATATATTTTGAACAACCGACAAAAACCGTGAAGGTTAATTTGAAGTGTTTTTGATTTTTGCAAAAATATGTATAGAATTTGATGTTTTTATTTTAAATGTATGAAACTAAATGCTCGAATTTCTTATCATATTATAAGAAAATATATTTATAAATAACATATTGTATACCGAGGCCTTTTATTTGTGATGTTATACTTAAGAAAACTTTCGTCATTTTAATTTAATTAAAAAAATAATTGTATACACCTTAAGTCTACACTAATATTGCAAAGAGGTAAAGTTTGTAAGTATCTAAGTGGTGTATAATCTCTGAATCTGAAACGACTGATCCGATTCTGAAAATTCTTTCATCAATATCTACGTTGATAACGAATGCTGTAAGTTATTTTTAATTCTGATAAAAATCTATTTTCTGTCAAAAATTGTATAAGTATAATTAAAGTCGGAATAAAAATGGCGTACTTCGCCTAAACAACTTGAAATAAAACAATAAAATGTATGACAAAAGGCCCCTTAGTGAAGGGGTAAGTCGCTTTACAAAAAACATATGAATTAACCATTCCTAAGTTTGTGCAAAAATTCAATTTTAACGTTTTCGTTTATTTATTTAAAAAAAAATAAGGTAAAAGCAAACGAATAGAAAGAATGAAATGAATTTTGTATCAAACTATATATTTGTTCTGTGCTGCTCTAAGTCAGGGTTGTCAAGTATCTATCCACGATCAAAGACGTTATTCACCCATACAATGTTTATTTTTATGGTTCAGTCCTATACTAGAGTCAGATTATCTTGGCAAATGCCACTACACAATATGACCCATATAAATTAGTACTAGTATTGCCCGCGGCTCCGCTCGCGTTCAGATGACCAAAAACCAAATTCTTAGGTTTTACATATTAGTAGACTCTTACGTTGCAATTTTTGTATTTTTTCTCGGAAATGAGACATTTTTCCGCGGTAAAAAGTATCCTATGTGTTGACCCGAATAACAAGCTATCACCATACCAAATTTCATCAAAATCACTCCAGTGGTTTTTCTGTGATGCGGTAACAGACAGACAGACAAAAATTCTAAAAACTATAGATTCGGCCTCAGTATCGATAATAAAGTCTATTTCAATAAGATTTTCCAAAAAATATTTAATGTACAGATTCGGCTTTGTTGCAATTGTTTTATATGTATAGATTATTAGAATGTTTATAGTCGCAGCTTAAATTTCTGCCCATAGTAAAAGTTTTTGTATAGACTGTATAAATCATATAGAAGTTATACAAACTGACTCTGACCCTCTTATCGAGGGGAGGCCTAGCAATGGGACAGTAAAAAAGGCTGATTTATTATTATATAGTACTTCTATCTGGACCCCTCGACTAGCTCTTTCTTAAATATTTATATATGCAACTTATGCCTATTACTGTAAACTAATTATCAGATAATTCATTTCCTTACACTTAACAATTCTTTATTGGCGATAGTGATAGCAAATAGTCAAAACAAAGAGATCGTACCAAACAAAATTTTTACATCGTTGAAAACCGGGCGACGGAGTAGATAGCGAATATATCCTCTCCGAATAAGCTTATCTATATACAATTTTTTTAACTTTAAATGGTGTACAATAAGTGTCATGCATAAGTTATATTTAACTAAACAAACCATCAATTCGTCGCATTTAAATGCTATAAATAACTTAACAATTATTTATGAAGTTCCATGGTCATGTGGATCTTCACTTGTTAATTTATTGTTACAATATTATCCTCTTTAAAAGATTAATAGGCTATTTAGGTAATAAATTAAAGAATGAACTTGTCACATTTAATTTTGTGAGTTGTCGTATTTTGGGAACATGCTACCCGACTTGCTTTGTCTTATCATGGTAATTCATATACAACAAATAACGATATAATAGAATCAAAGTTATGATTCGAATGATGCATTCAGCCCTTTTTTTACGTCCCACTACTGGGCCTCCATACAATACGAGGAGGATCAGGCCACAGTCCACCACGCTGGTTAAGTGCGGGTTGGCGGACCTCACATGTCTTTCGAAAACTTGCTAGGTTCTCTCAGATATGCAGGTTTCCTCACGATGTTTTCATGTATATCGTAAGACAAGTGGTAATTATGTTAGAATTAATTCGCACAAGAAAATATCAGAGATGCAAGACCCCATTTGAACCCGCTTCACTCAGTTTCCAAAGCGAGCACGTTACCACTGGGCTACCACTGCCTCTGTGTTAGACTATTCTATTCCTCGAAAGAACTAGATGAGTTTTTGGTAAACATTTTTTATTGTACTTACTAATCCATTATTATTAATCTGTTTAAATAACATATGTTCACATGACTCATTTTAAAAATTATCTCATCAAATTATCAAAAAATGCCTAAACAAATACTTTACGTATCTTACATACGTCCTGTATAACAAATCCACATTTATAATTAAACAGTAAACAATTTTAAGGTAAAATCCCAGTATATTAACTCTATGAAATATAATCTGCTACGGAAGTTGGAATTTATTTTGAGAGCTTTGAACGCCGACGACTGTGTCACATACACGGCCTCTTTCATAATTATAGGCACGTCACCAATATATTTGTGCTAATGGACCCAGGCCATTTACTGCAACAAACTACATTATCTTATATGGAACTAAATGTAACGTAATAGTTGACTCTACCATACTCTACAGCCCGCGGCTTCTTCCGTGTAGATTTATTTTCACAAATCAATATTCTCAAAACTGCCATGTAAACTTTAAAAAAATAGTAATGACAAGAACCACTTATGACGAAATTACAGGCAGATATCTATAAGGAGTTATTTATTGATGTCAATCGTATTGTACCTGACGGGAGTTATCGATTGCGCCATAAGTCGCGAATACGATAAACTCACGTGTTTGTATTTCCCTATAGCTGCCCTTATGTCTGCATGCATTTTTAATGTTTATTGTATTTAGCCTATAAAGTAATAGAATGGATAATCGCATTTTAGAATTAAAAATATTTAAGTCTTAAACAACATTTAAAGATAACACAATTTCAATAAAATTTAATTTCAATGCAGCGCAGTGAGCAATTTATTAAACCAACTTTGTCGTAACTTTATAGCAGGTCTAAAACATTCAAGTTTTATTTAGGTTGGTATAAATATTAAATACTATCTTTATTTAACGAGATTCACTCAGAAGAACAACATTTGCGCATCCGTTTGTTATTATTTATCCTATATTGGTATATCAGCATCGTAAGTATCAATATTTATTCATCGGAGCGCTTTTAGTAAGTGGTTATTTCATATTAAAGCTGTTCATATTTACGCAATTTGAATTAAACAGTACTTTTGACCGACGTTAAAGAAAAAGTGGTGTATATTTTTTTTGTATCTTCGCTAATTGTGAATCGATTTTCATGACTTTTTTTATAAATCGTATAATTTAATATATTATTAATCAGCAAAAAAAGAAAAAGAAAGCATATTATAGATACCTAAATATTTTTAATTTAAAAATTATAATTATTCCACCCTAAATGTCGATAATTTTTTTTAAACTTAAATAAAAACAACAATGTACTGTACATTCGTTAAAATAATCATTTAAATCCGTCTACAATAGATGAAGAGACCGCGTAACATCTTGCTACTATATAAATGAGAAAGTTTGGATGGATGGATGTTTGTTACTTAATCACGCCAGAACGTAATACTTTCTTAGATTTACGCGAATATTTGACATTTTAAATAAAACTATCTTTTCGGATTTTGTCGCGGATTTCTTTGGATTTTTGTTTCCCGACGTTTCGAATGCTTTACAGCATCCATGGTCACGGGAGAGACTGAGGTGTTACATGTCTTGAATGTATAGTTGTTACAGACAGCCTACCCACAATTAACAAAATGAAAATTGCACCAATTACATTACAATATTTTTTAACTTTAAACATTTTTATAATTTTAATTATAATTGAATATGGAAAATTATTTATTTAATTTTGCTATTATTTTTATAATTATTACAATTTTAAATATTAATTAGTAATCTATATTTAGTGTTGCCATTATTATATTTATAACCATAAAGAAAAATATAAAATGTAGTATTAATTATTAAAGCCATATAATTGTTCTATGTGTAATTTAAAAAAGTTAAAATTAATTAAGGATAATAATTTTAATTTAGTTTGCTATTTTTTAAAAACAACTTACTAAGTAACACTATTAATATATACTTTAACAAATGAAAAATGAAAAATATTAGTCTGATAAGCTGTCATTTTGATCTACACAGTATGAACTTACTACATCTGCCTGTCTGTTATGTTTATATAAACTATACATTCAAGACATGTAACACCTCAGTCTCTCCCGTGACCATGGATGCTGTAAAGCATTCGAAACGTCGGGAAACAAAAATCCAAATAAATCCGCGACAAAATCCGAAAAGATAGTTTTATTTAAAATAACACGCCAGAACGGCTGAATGAATCTGGATGAAATTTGGCACAGACATAGATTATAGTCTGTAATAGCACTTTTCGTCCCGAAAAAACGAAGCGAGGGTGAGCCGCTTGTACGAGCATAAAACATACACCAAAATTAACAACATTCTTTTTGTGAAATCGGTTGAATGGCGTAATTGAAAATGTGTAATAACAGAATGAAGTTTAGAAAGCCGCTTGTACTAATTAGAAAAGACTTTGACCTTGAATTTTATTTAGTCCTCGTATATTTTGTATCTATAAAATAATTACACGAGATTAATATTATAATTTATATGTTTTTCAAATTCAATTTAAATTCAAAATATTTTATTCAGCATTAAATTATTACAATTTTTTACTGAACGTCATGAGTCTACTACCAGTTCGGAAAGAAGAAGCCTCAGACCTGAGAAGAACTGGCGAAAGAAACTCAGCGGGACTATTATTAACTTGTTATCTTTTGTTAAAGTTAAATTATAATTTAGGTACAATATTTCTATCAAGTTGAATTAGCCTGGAGGTGATCATTTATGGGAATATAGATAATGACTAAATTCCTCTGCGTAATATAATGCTTAAGTAAATTATGAGAACTACAACTATTACGCCGAAATAGAAATATACGAGAAGTTTACATTGCAGGTATATTTTCATATCCATATTTAGTTTTATATTATAAGCTTACTATCTTCAAAAGGGTTTATGGTCTTTGTTCTACATTTTTTATTATAAGTATGTACAAGATAAAAATTTTCTTTATCTAAAATGTTTTCGTCATGAAAGGTACACTATGTTAATTTAAACGTTAACATAAAATTCATTAGCAACTTACAGTGATAATGTGTAGCTTAATGAGCAAAAAATCGGGTATTAACAATACACATGTATTTGTGAATGTATTCACTAATAAAATAGTTTTTATATATTAAACTTGATTGAGCGCGAGTCTGACTCACTCTTGACCAGTTTTTATTGTGTAGCTTTACCTACTTGTTAAAATAATTTTGACACTAAAATGTTACGATATAACAAAATCAAAAGAAAACAATAAAACACGTTTTTTATATAGAGAGAGACCCTTTTTATTTTAATGGATTATTTTCAAAAGAAATGAAAAATAAACAGACAGGGGCAATCTATTAAATCGGCCCCCTTTTCAACGCTTCGGGTACGGAACCCTTTAGACTTAATAAATTTAATAAATGTTTGAACAAAAAATGACATCATCTCTATATTTGACTCTACAGTGAGAAAAATACAGTTAAATTTATAAAAAACCAACCATACACTTCTAATAATAAGCATCTTTGATAACTCTAATGTTGACTTAAACTACGCCTGTTAATATAAGTGTTTGCATATTGAAGAGAAAAACTCAAGTGTAGGATATGTACCTATTTATCTTATTATATATACTATATAGTTTATTATATATTTAATTATTTATAAAAATCAAAGGATGACTTATCTCTTTAAAAGATCTCTTGCTGTATCAGTGAGAAAAATAGTAATAATAAGGTTTGGTGTTGGTACAAATTACAAGGATGAATACGGATAAACATACACAATGGATTCTAACGGAGTCGAAGCAAAACTGTGAGAGCACTGTATGAAGTTTTCACCATCTGAAAATTACAAAATATTTATATGTATATTATGTACATACATAACAATAATGACTAAAGTAATCAATATTATGATTATTATGCATGCACGTTATTTGTAATACTAATTATGTAGTATCTGAATAATTAATGAGCTGGAGTTAATAAATTCGTGACAAAAATATTTATTACTAGCGACTCACCCTCGCTTCGCTCGGGTTCCTTCCTAGCTTGCATCCCAATACAAACTTTGAAACGTATGTTTTAAAAGTATCCTATGTCCGTCCCAGGGTCTCAAACTATCTTCATACCAAATTTCATCTAAATCGGTTCAGTAAATCCAGAGATTACCCCCCTATAACGTCACAAACTCACAAACTTTACCTCTTTATAATATTATATTAGTACAGATGAAAATCTTGTAGGTACTGTATAGTCACATTTTATGGACAAACTTTCAGACCACTGAAAATACTATATAACTTATAATTAAAATAATGCTTACATAACCTATTAAGCTTTCAGTATTTATTAAGAGTGAGTTATTACTTAAAAACCCTTACGTATCACAATATAGTTTTTAGTGAAGTAAGCTAGAAAAATAAATGAAGTATCCTCAACACATTTACCAGCATTCTGAGCTATCATAATTATATAGAGAACTAGCATTGCCCGCGGCTCCGCCCGCGTTCAGATGACCAAAAACCAAATTCTTAGGTTTTACATATTAGTATACTCTTACGTTGCAGTATTTGTATTTTTTCTCAGAAATGAGACATTTTCCCGCGGTAAAAAGTATCCTATATGTTAACCCGGATAACCAGCTATCACCACACCAAATTTCATCAAAACCCTTCCAGTGGTTTTTCTGTGATGCGGTAACAGACATGCAGACACACAAACAGACAAAAATTCTAAAAGGTGTAGATTTGGCATCTGTATCGATAATAATGTTTATTTTAATAAGATTTTCCAAAAAATATTTAATGTACAGATTCGACTTAGTTACAATTTTATTATAGGTATGTATAGATGTAGTTATTCGGACATATTCGTATTTGGCAGAGTATCATAATGTTAAAAAAACTAACACAATAAAAGGTATTGACCTCAAATAAGAAAAAAACCTACTAATAATAGTAATATTGAAATTGAACAAAATCATGCGGTTTTATGAGATAACATACTCATACATTGTTTTAATATACTCTGCGTGTTTAAGGATAAAATATAAATAACTTTAAAAGTAATTGACAATGTTTAATTTAAAATTTAACTTAGTTTTAAACGGTCTAGTCGTACTTCTATGGTGAAAGTGCCCCCGATAGGAACCTATATCGTAACCAATATTATATTATAGAGGACACCAACAATAGTTGATCGAGTAGATATTAGCTCTATATCTTAGTTAATTGAGGAGCTATTTGAAAAAAAGTGTCCGGGGATGACTTTTTTTCAAACCGATATATCTTAGTTCATTTCAAAGCTAGCAAAATAAAACTAAATGTAAGTGTTAAAGTACACTTTATAGTTTATTTTATAGGCGTTTCCTATGGACCAAGCCTAAATGAAAGTTTAAAAAAAATGCAAATAAAAATTTGGTCAATCGATTTCTATCAGATCTAATTTCGCTTTATAATAATAACACTTTCGCCATAGAAGTACGGCTAGACCCTTTTAGGGTCATTTGCACCAAAATTTTAATTTAATTGATTAAAATATATATAATTGATTGAAATAAATTAAAAATGTGCTAAGTTCCAACCAAAGCTTTTGTGAACATATAAAGATGCACTGGCATTACGTTGGAAAATATGTAGTTATATTTTTATAATTTTATGAAAACGTCGCTCATATACGTAAATAATTCTTAACAACGACGCCCACAGAGTCCTTAATGATATTAAAAAGAAGGAAAATGTGTGTACTGTCGCCGCCACTTTCTTACTTTATTATGGACAATATTTTACACATATGAGGCTTTTATAATATGTAGTCTGAGATAAAATACTTTTTATCTCGAAAAGAAAAGCAATTTGCGGTAGAAGTTAGACGGAAAATTCCATCAGTACGCAAAAAAATGATAGACTTTGACTATATTTATGGATTTATATTATTACCTATAGAAAGTGTTGAAATATCTAAAATCCACTTGGGAAAATTTGTACTTACATTAGCGTATGATTCTAGAGAGAGATCGTACATCCCTCCAGCGGTGAGAGCCGTTTGCTTATTAGCTCGAGCCATGATGAGGAAGAGGGTGGTGCGCACACCTGGTACATTCACGATGCCATTCTCCCAACTTGACGCATACACAGCTTCAACAGTCTTTTCATTCTTAAACGGATAAATAACTTGCAAGAAAAAAATATAAAATAACTACCTGTACCCCGCGGCTTCGCTCGCGTTCAATTACGATATAGCACATGTTTAGAATATGGGACACGGCCTCTGGAGCAGTGGTGGTATTTTTGGATAGAAGAGATGATATACATTAAAAAAAAATATTTTTAGAAATTAAACGAGTCAAAAGTTATGGAGGCCTAAAGTTACAAAATTATCAAATTTTTGCACATCTAAATAAGTCATTACTAAAGATAAACATACTTTTAAAGAATAGCAAACTTCCTTTTTCGTGTACAATTCATATCATTATAACAATTAAGATTTTTAAGTTTCGATGTTTCAATAATTTCACTTAAAACTATTTTTTTTTTCTTAATGGTTTAGAGTTGCGTTAACAGAGTCAATTCATTCTGCCAGTGTCACGTTTTGTGAGGAAGACACGATAAATCTCACATTGAGCGGTAATCTTGAAATTTAGCCGCTTTAATGTGGAACTAAAAGTACAAATGAATGATCACTTAAAACAATCTATATACATACTCGAATAATAAAATTGTAACTAAGCAGAGTCTGTACATTTTTTTTTTTGAAAATCCTATTGGAATAGACATTATTATCGATACAGAGACCGAATCTATAGTTTTTAGAATTTTTGTCTCTCTGTCTGTCTGTTACCGCATCACGGAAAAACCACTGGAGACATTTTGATGAAATTTGGTATGATGATAGCTGGTTATCCGGGTCAACATATAGGATACTTTTTACCGCGGAAAAATATCTCATTTCTGAGAAAAAATACAAATCTGCAATGTAAGAATATACTTACTAATATGTAAAACCTAAGAATTTGGTTTTTGGTCATCTGAACGCGGGCGGAGCCGCGGGCAGTGCTAGATTTATTATAAATATAATAATCTTACATTTTAAGAAAACTGACAATTTCTTTTTTAAGTATTGTTGTCATGATATATAACAGATTATCACTTATAATAAATAACTAAAATTTACAGTTAATCGTTCCAGTCGCTAGTTGTTTTTATTATTTTTTACAAAACAACCAAAACGACAAATATTTTTTTTGATGTTACATATAAAACAATATAAGAAACTGAACAACTGAATGTCAATCAGTCAACTCACTTTTTATAGAGATTTTTAAACCCAAATTGAAAAACTTTTCCGTACATTTTTTCAAACATTTCTTTCATAGAAACTTTGTCCTAATAGTTACCAACACAACAAAAAAAGAATTAGCCAAATACGTGCAGTTGTTCTGAAGAAATTCGCTTACATACATTTGGCAATAGATTTTTATTTATATAGATTCTCATTAAAAATGTGAAATACAATACGTGACACTGGCAAAATGTACGCCTGTTAACGCAATTCCAAGCGATTACGGGGAAAAAATGCTAAAACGCGTTTGTTGATTTTATTTTATGTTTGTTTTTCTTTTTCACTCGCTATTCTATTTGAAAATTGTAATGTAATCAACTTAAGTCTGTTTCAATGTTAGAAAAAAATATACTTTTTTATATGTATTAAAAATAAAGTTTATAAAACAAATTAGAGCTGTCGCGGGACGCCTAACAGATGTGAAACGTCGAAATAAATATGGCATAATCAAAAAAATATGGAATTAGTCCAGATCTAAAGCTCCTTAAAATATGTGCTATATCTCATTGCATCCGGAATGACGTCTAGAAAAATGTATTTAAACTATTTTTAAGCACGTAAAAAATCGCAAAAGTTATAAACAAATATGAAAGAAGGTATTTAGTTTTTCGCTAATAATTAAAAAAAACTATGCATAATTAAGAAATAAAAAAAGATCCTTAGAGGAGGAAATTTCCAATAAAAACGTCGCAACTCTCCGAAATTTACCTTTATTATTTATAATTTCAATTTAATGAATATAAATCTGACCTCGCTAAGCTCGCAGAGTGGTGAGATAGGGGGGATCGTCGAGCAAAGTGGAAATAATCTCAAGAGTCAAGAGAGCGTGGCAACGTGGCGACATTTTGTTCTAGCTTCTGGTAGAGTTTTTAACACATATATGTATTTCTGATTGAATAAAGATTTTTTACTTTGTTCATATTGTCTATTGAATGTAACATACGCATACGTTAATATAATGCATAAATCTGTATCCTAATACATTTTTAATGAATATAAGTAGTAATATCTGACATAATATACCGAACTCCAAGGAGTCTTAATATATAGATAGGTTTTTGAGAACAATTACTGTTACTGCAGCACATTTCTCTTAAGCGTACATTTATGCTTAATAATAAGCTACTGTATAACTTCGCCCAGTGTGTAAGACTTGTGATAGAAACTTTAGTGGGCGAGTACACAACAATTTACTGAAGTTTCTCGCCATCGGCAAATTAATGGTTTAGAAGCGCATGCGCTCCAAACAAACAGACAAATACTTTTGGTGAACAAACCTGGATTTTGACTTCCTCGCACCATCTGCATATTATGTATAAAACAAACATATTGTACCCCAAATACAGTAGACTGGTAAGCCATTTGGTCATATTTACATTCACCGACTGAAAACATACAACAAGGTTAATCAAATAATTTTAAGGTAAGACGTCTTGTATGGCCACCTCGCTGTCATATACAAACATGGATATATAACAATCTATAATTATTATGTTTGCATTTAAAACCACTAAATACTCTACAATTTTAGAGGGGTTAATGTGGTCCCGTCTCCAAAAGACAAGAAGAGGCAAGATGATGAATGAATGTGAATTATAATTCTCTATACATACCAAGCCATTTAACTTTATGTAAAAATTGTACTTCGATTCTTTTGATTTACTTTTATACCCATTAATTTTTCAAAGCAAATGATGTAAACTGACATCTTGATGTTATTAAAAATTTAATGAAGCCCTAACTGAAAGCATATGAAATCATGAAATTTAATATAAAACTTTGCTCATATTTACGATCGCAGCCTCGATTATATTCAAACAAATCGACACAAAAAGCATCCTTATTATATCATCCATATCCATATCATACTCACATGTAAATATCTATACTAATGAAAAAGTTTGTCAATCGTTTCTCTAAGCATTATCCCAATAAATAGCTGTCCGATTTGGTATATTACTTTTTCATTATATAGCCGATAATATGTATATTGGAGATGATTCGATGTCTAACATCACAGAACGATACACGGAGTGGGGGAATTATACTTGTAAATAAATAAACTAAGCGAGTAGAGCCACAGACAGAAACTAGTATTTTACAAAGTAAAAAATTGCACTTAAGATTGACCCGAACCCTTCTCAAACACGACAGCAACGCTGAACATATGCAATTAATTTGAAATATTTTTATTAACCCTTTGAAAGCAGAACTTTTTATATTAGTTACTAAACTATTATAATAATAATTTAGTATTTTTGCATTGCTGTATAGGACTTTAAATATAAATAGGAACTTTATTTTTTTCTCTACATAATATAAAGCTTACCGTTGCAACTTGGAAACCGATAGAACAAATAAGTGTTGTGCTAACGGCCAGCTGAACTAACATGGGCGCACTCAATAAATCCCGAAGCTTCAGGATATTGCTGCAAATGTAATTTAAAGTGAAATCAAGGAATGATACAATCCAAAAAGATATAAAAAAATTGTTATTTGCCTACTTATTATAAAATATATGATAAAATACAGTAAAAACTTACTTTAAAACAAACATATGTTGTTTCACTAAATTTCCTAATCTTTTCTTGTATTCTTTTCTAAAGTCTTCATTCAAGTATAATTTATTTATATCCAAACCTATAACATTTAAACTATTTATATCTAAAATTACTTTAAAATATATAAAAACTTCATGAAAGTAAAACTCTAACATAAAAATATTATACCTTCAAAATTGCATTGTATATCTGTTAGAATATTTTCAAAACAGTCGTTAAGAATAGCAAATTGGCAGAGTAAATGCATTAAATGTGCTTGCATTATGAGGTCATTAGCCATTACAAAGTAACACATGTAGGAGAAGACTATCATCATACACATGTAGGTAGGAGGATATCGGGTAGATGTTTGGAAGTTAAATGGCAGTCTGACAAAAGCCATTAAATTATATTCTAAATCATCCACAAGAGGATAGATTTGCCTGAAATATGGAATAGAGTAAAATAAAATTCTAATCCACAGAAAATTATTATTTTTATGCAGATAAAAATACATTATATTGATATTTTTTATCTGCTACAATGTTATATTATTGAAATAGTAATTATTATCGATACAGAAGTCGAATCTATAGTTTTTAGAATTTTTGTCTGTGTGCCTGTCTGTTACCGCATCACAGAAAAACCACTAAATGGATTTTGATGAAATTTGGTATGGTGATAACTGGTTATCCGGGTCAACATATAGGATACTTTTTACCGCGGGAAAATATGTCATTTCTGAGCAAAAAAACAAAAACTGCAACGTCAGAATATACTAATATGTAAAACCTAAGAATTTGGTTTTTGTCCATCTGAACGCGGGCGGAACCGCGGACAATGCTAGTGTAATATAAACAGGTCTCAGATTCAATTATCATAAAAAAATGTAAATTATGGACGACTGTCTGTATCTACAGTCATGTACAGTAAAAAAAAAATTAAACGATTTTAAAAATTTGAAAACTTTTAAATTTTGATGATGTTAAAACTTATCTTACCAGAAAATAACAGTACAAGTTCCTAAACCAAAAAGTAGTTTAAGCGACGCCTCGTTACTTTTACGCCAAATTTCTAAAATATTTTTTCTTTGGTTTGTGGAGAGATCAAAATTTTTCGATTCCATAGAACAGGCTAGACTCTTAAACACCGTCTTATTTCCAATCTAAAATTGAAGTAACGTAAGTAAAATTGAATTATTTATGAGTTAGTGAACTGCTACATTGAAAAGCTGTACATCATAAAATCTGTAGTGGGTAGTTATTTGTTTTCCCATAAATGAAATTCTTTCTTTTAGCAGCAATAGGTTGAGAAGTTGACGATGTTAAGCTCTCAAGCCTCAAAAGCTTCAAGTCTTGCTCCTGACCTATCGGATTTGCGTTTTACTGGACTATAAAAATAAATGAAGACATCCGGCCGCCATTATTGAATTTGAGATGCTGTTGTCCTCTAATTTTCATGTTAAATTTAATAATATAGTAATATTTTTTATTACTATTATTCAGAAGTTTAGCTATCAACCTCTCAAAAGGAAGTGAACCATAGACCACCACACTAGCCAGGTACAATTTGTTGACTTGACATATTTTTCAAAAACTATTTATTCATTTTAGAGTCATTTTACTTTACTTCCAGCGTTTATTAAGTTATATATATAACGTATGTATTCAGCCCTTTTTGATGTCCCACTGCTGGGTACGGGCCTCCCTTCAATACGAGGGGGATCAGGCCATAGTCCACCACGCTGGCCAAGTGCGGGTTGGCGGACTTCTCATGTCTTTCGAAAACTTCCTAGGTTCTCTCAGACATGCAGGTTTCCTCACGATGTTTTTCTTCACCGTAAAGCAAGTGGTAATCATGTTAGAAACGATTCGCACATGAAAATATCAGAGGTGCGAGACCCGGGATTTGAACCCGCTTCACTCGGTTTCCTAAGCGAGCGCGTTACCACCGGGCTACCACTGCCTTAACGTATAATTATGTTAAAATGATTTGGACATGAAAATCTCAGAAGTGAGACCCCACTGTTTAAAATAACTTCACTTTCCTTTCTAAACAAGCAAGTTCACAATCGGCTACTACTACTGCTTCAAACTACTTTTTTGGATTTTAATACATACAAAAAATAAGATTACCATAACTTTATACTTGCACAAAGCCCCAAACTGTATAAGAAGAAGGTTAAGCCCATCGATGACTGCGTCAATAGTCCATGTTATACTAAAGAATTGCCACACCTCGCAGCAAGTCAACAATATTAATAGCATCTTAACTATTGTACTATAAATACGGTATGCCACGCTATAGTCCGTAATGGAGAGACCTAAAAATGTTATTACTTCTCATATTATAGTTACACCAGAAATTAAAGATTTGCCCTTATGCACGATGATAAAAGCAACTTTAAAGAAATTAAAAAATCTGAATGATTGCTTTCTTCGAAATAAATTATAAAATTTTTCAACTTTTGAAAATCTTTACTGTTTTGGCAGTATCTCTTCGAGGAGTATTTTCCAGGCGCCCAGATTTATCACTTTTCAACTTCATTAGTAAGATGCAAGTTAGACGCTGTATAATTATTAAAATTGCGTGCTTTCTTTTTTGAAATGTACAAAAGTAAATTAGATTTTACAAAAAAATATATTAACATACCGCAAAGATATAAAACCCTATATAAAAATTCAAAAAAATAAACTTCAAGCTCTCCACTCGCTAATCTTAAAGCATCGGTGTTCGTTAGTTTTCTCCACACCACATTTAAGAGCTTCATCTTGATTCTATACTTCAACTTTGTACTAACGTTTTGAACAATATCAAATTTTACTTATAATATAACATTAACTCGACCTGTTAAATAGTATGTGAATCTGATGCATTTCCATAACGCAAAGAAAATATCGTAAATTGTTTCCTAAGTATAAGTAGCTAAGATGCTAATAAAATAAGTATTCGGTTTTTCTTTAAACAATTTTAGACTGTTAATTTAATTAGTATATTGAGGCCCGATTTTACAAACATCCCATAAGCTACCATCTACGTATGAGATCCCTAGCTTAAAAGTTCCCCTAAACTAACCCCTAAATTAAATTCCGTTTTACTATCGTCAGAGCTCGTATTTATAGTGCCTATATTTAGGTGGCATTTTAACATTTAGGTGACCCCTAACTGTCGGTGAAACAGAAACTGTCCCTAACAGCTCCTAACCATGCTTAGGGGATCCCTTAAACTTAGGTGACGTTGGTGAAATCGGCCATGAGACTATTTTAATTTAAGGTAATCAACGACACTACTGCAAGCTCTAATATAACCTAATGTAGGCTCAATTCCAGGATAATGAATGAAAAAAAATTGCAAATAAAATATTTTAATATAAATCAAAAAGTAGTGTGACATTTGATTTAAAATTTTGATAGTCAATTTATTAATTCTTAACAATGGAAACACTATTAGAAAGCTATAATTATATTTTAATCGCATAAATTATTCAAGGTGACTTAAATCCGTTTGGACAGCGCATGATCAAATTATTCATTGAACAACACCAACATTCATTATTAAAGCCTGAGAATTAACACAATACTTAAGTTAAGGTTTAGATGGATAGGCCTGAAAGATTTTTTTTAAATTGTTATTTAATTGAGATCAAATAACATATAAAATGTATAAATAGTAATTAATATTAGCTGAAGTATTTATTAAATCACATGTACCTACATATATATGTATTGAACTAAATATTAATAAGACACATATTTTTTTTTATTATTATAAGCATTATCATCATATCTCATATGTAAACGTAGATACGTTATAATTTAGTTTTTATTTAATTATCTAAAAATAAATAATTACTTTGGATTTTGAAACTAAACTAAAAAATAAAAATAAAATTTAAACACAAAAACCAATTTTTAAAAATTCTTTCGCCAGTTCTTCTCAGGTCTGAGGCTTCTTCTTTCCGAACTGGTTGTAGACTCATAGACACAAGTAAAAAATGGTAATCATTTAATTCTGAATAATATAATTTGAATTTGAATTCGATCACTATTAGATATAAAAAATACTAAGTGTTAGTTTATATAAACTATGAAGTTTGTACGTTCGAAAACTACGTTTTTATTATAACTTATCATAATCATAACTACATTATTATAAGTTTTTTGGTTATAATTGACGTCCATCAGCTTAACTGTGTTGAAATCTCCGCAGAACTGTGACAGCGGAGTATGACGTCTTCACCAGCTAAAACCAAAAATGTGAATTATAATTTTAAAAAGCTTACAGTTTTAAAAGCTTAAAACTATATATAATCTACAACAAAAGTTATTTGTAGATAGTCCAAAGACCACTTTGAATCGGTTGTTCACAAAAATATATTAATAATTAAAAAAAACGATAATCGCTAATGTAAAAAATCACACAGAGCTAGAGGGTCCTTTTAACAAAAAAGTTTAATTATATTCTTTTAAAACTTTACATTCACGCGAATATAAATAAATAAATATATGTTTTCGAATTTTTTCGCGGATTTAATCGAATCTTCTTTTAGTTTTTCTAGTAATTGGGAATGAATTTTACTATAAACTATAATTATGAAATATTCTGAAATCCGAAGAATTTGTAAAGGAATAAAAACTTAAAAAATAAAATAAAAGCCGACTTCCAGGCACTAAAATGTAAAAAATAACTAAACGGAGGTTTTCATTTAGAATAGATACCTAATCAGATATTTTCGAAGTCGGTGCCAAACGATACAAAACAAATCTAATATATCTCGATACGTAAAACACATATTTACCTATTAGATATTCATTTCTTAAAATATTGTCGGCTGGCACCTGGGAAGTATACCCTTTGAAACAAAAAAAAATTTCCAAATCGGTTCAGGCGTCTTCGAGTAATCGGTGAACATACATAAAAAAAAAGATTCCGATGAATTGAGAAAATCCTCCTTTTTGGAAGTCGGTTTATAAGAACTGTTGTAGCTAAACAGTTTGTTCTTAAAATAAATTCTCGGATCATTAGAAAAAAAAGAGAGATGAAAATTTTTTTACAATTGAATTATTACACAAATAATACACACTCGGAGTATTACGATCATATGCCTATTAATAGAAATAAAAAAAATAGATGTGTCATCTACATAGCAATATTCTAAACAATATGACGACTTTGTCCTTTGTTATTCTTTTTCTGCGTTTATTATCGCATCGCTTAAACAACGCAGTTATAGAACAAAGAAATTATTAACAGGTCCTATAAAAATATTTGCTGCAGGCGAGAACTAAATAACTCAGGATTCGTACGTCAGAATTATCAAGATTTTTAACTTATTACATTCATTGAAACATTAACGACTTTTGGTTCACTCGAGTGCCTCCACTTATGGTCATTTCACCTATAGACAAAGCAGAGAATTGAGCAAATTTTATTACTAACAGCTTAGTGACTCAACTCATAAAAAAATAAAAGCCTTTGTACTACCCCAGCTCGTACTCTTTCCGTCTTTTACTATTATTAGTTAATTCGTCCAGCCGTTTTAGCGTTTGGAGTAACAAACATACAAACTTTCGCTTTTATTTTATTTTTATTTATTTATTTATATTAGTATTCTGATTACATACAGTCGTATAAGAGGAGAGGGATAGATCAAACAAACTGCCAGCTGTAAAAACAACCGGTTTGCTAGTTCGGATGGCGACCAGTAACAGGCGTGCGCGGATACCCGGCATTGCCGTGAGGCCCCGCTCCCAGCCTGAACAGTATATTGAATTGCCGATGTTCTCACTCTGAAAATAGTGATAATTTGTATATATCTATACAGTTTTCTAAAAAAATAAAATTTGTTTCATAATTTAGCCTAACGGTGACGCACTTGCTTGAGAAACCAAGTATCGTGGGTTCAAATTCCGGGTCCCGAACACAGGTTCATATCACAGGATATTCAAAACTGTTTTCAAAATGAAAAAGGAAAAAATCGTGAAGAATCAAACAAGTTTTCGAAAAACATATAAAATCCGCCAATCCGCACCTGGCCAGTATAGCAAACTCCCTTGCTTTAAGAGGAAGCCCGTGCCCAGCAGTACATGATATAGTTCGAAATAATAATTCTATAGAAATATCAAATGACATTAAAATCTTAAATTAAATTAATATCTTGGTAAAAAGATACATACCTGAATTTTAATTTCATCACTCCACTTACAGAATATAAAAAGTTCAAATAGATTATACATGAGGTAGAGAAGACTCATAAAAAACTTAACGTTGCTCGGTCCTGCGCTCTGCAAACACAAATACGACAAATCGATTTGCTCGAAAAGTATTCAGCAAAACGACTTAAAAGTTCACAACTTTACTATTTAAAGAGAGTTTAGTTAGGGAATTTACCTTACACTTACATGTACGAGTATATAGTAATATTTGTTCATATGTATGTAGTTTGTATGTAGAAAATTGTGTCCTTTATACTTAAATTATACTCTTATTATATCTAGGTGATATAAGTTATTTTAATTTTCATGCCAACAGCCAACAGCCAATAGATGCTTATAATAGTAAGCGTTCATTGATTCACTACATTATCTCTAGAAGGAAATATGATTTTCTGTACTTTGTAGTTATTTGTATACAAAAAAAATCAATAAGGGCTCAAAAACCAATATATTAATTATGTTTAAAGAAAGTAAAATCAAAAGTTTGTAGACGACGAAAATTGTAATAAAAATTCAATCACTGGAAGGAACTAAACAATATTTAGATCGCAGATGTAGTTATAAAAACTAAAAATTTGTCTTTTATTACATTAGAAACATCCGTTAAAATATTTTATATGTTTTGGTTGCGGTATAATTTTATTGTTATCGTATACTAGCAGTACCCGCGGCTTTGCCCACGTTCAAACTCCCGATTGCTACCAAACTTCACAAAATCACTCGCTGGGCTAATCTGAAGATTGCCTGAAAATTTCATCAAAATCCCTCCAGCCTTTTGGAGTTCATGAGGACCATACATACATCAATTTTTATATTAAAGAGAAGAAGAAGATCTATTAACTTACCGCACTTGCTTGATATCCAACGAAGCATATGAGCAATGCGCTGGCTACCAACTGTCCTAGCATTGGCGTACTAATTGATTTCTTGAGCTCCATTGTGTTACTTAAATATTATTTCAGTTAAATAAGTACACATACAATTAAGTCAAAACTTATTTTAACAATAGACATCATTTTGTATTAAAACTGTTGAAATGTGAAATTTTATTGATCATCTCACGCTTAATAATTACGTATCAATAGTAAACTTATTGTTATCTTCTATTATAATTAGATTAACTTCATAATATATGAATTTCTCAACATATTATTATTATAATATTTGAATAAATATGTATAAATAAAGTATATATTACTTTAAAACAAATTTATGTTGCTCCACCAAATTATTGAGTTTTATTAAATATACTTCTCTAAATTGGGGTGTTCTGATTAAGTTTGAATTTTCGAAATCTGAAAAAATAATAATTGTTTTTGTAACAAAAACATTTATATTGGAAGATAATAAAACATCTGCGAAAAATTGAAATCAACGTCTTTATACTTCGCCTTTGTCATCTACTTCTTACTGCTTTAAACGAACATGTGATGTGTAAATTGTCTAATTGAATGAAAACATAGATTAAACTAAGAATTGCAACAATATTAAAGGAAATGCTACAACAATAAAAATTTAAAAATAATTCATAAGTTCAAGATAATACGTACATTAGAACGTTGAAATAGATATAGGTACTTAGCTAAGTCTGGCATTTTGGTAATAAATTGAAAGTATTCTTACGGTTTTCTCCCAAGCAATCTGTAATGATTTCTTCAAAACAATCAGCTAATGTAGTATACTGACACAACAGATGCATCAGATGAGCCTGCATGATCAAGTCGTTGATCATAACAAATACAGATCCATAGTTAAATGCAATGAAAATAATAAAATAAAATATGGGATAGCGATCTGGTGTTTGATACTTAAAAGGAAAGCTAGCTGATATCATTAAATTATATTCGATGTCGTCTACTAATGGATAAATGTGCCTGAAAAAACAAATATGTACATACTTTAATTTTCAAATCATTATTATTTAGCGAATATTGAATTAGTTAATTATTATCAATTAAAAGCGTAATAATGTTTATTTAATTTACCAAGCAGCCAAAGTGCAGGAACCTAATGTCAGCAGCAACTTTATAAATCTTTCATTTCTTTGAGCCCAAAATTTAACCAATTTTTTACGGTTTTTGGTTGAAGTATCAAAATATGGAGATTCCATAGCGGATGCCAATTTTTTATAAGTAGATTTATTTTGTCGCTGTTAAGTAAAATCTTATTATCTTAAATATATAGGATTATTATATTAAAAAGTTTAAATTCTCTGTCAGTTTTTATTGAAATAAGACACTTACCATATTAATATATCTATAAAGGGCCATAAAGTTCATTAAAGTAACAGTAATATTGTCAATAATGTCGTCCAAATTTGTTGATTTGCTGAGTAAATGCCATGTTTCGCAAAAATGAAGCAAGCCCACCATTAACTTAACAAATCCACTATAAATTTGGTATAAAATACTATTGTCTAAGATGGCAAATCCTGAAATAATAACATGTTGTCGAAGCTACTAATTTTTGAAAATGATTCCTATCAAGCTGAATTATCGTGAGTAGCTTCGCTTTGACGACACGACTAAATTCTTCTCTACAAAAAATATAGATAGTGGTGAGTAATAGAGGGTACTGGGTACAGACAAAAATTAAATGATCAAATCGAATCGACGAATCTATCTCTGACTAATGTAAGACAAATTCTTCTTCAAAAAAGCGTGAAAAATTTCTTTATTTTTCTGACATTTTTCTATTGATTAAGTTTGCATACACAAATCTGTTGAAGTCAATGAAGTTTGCATACATAATACTGAATAATATGTTATTATGTAATATATGTTAACGTTTGTAATTTTAGGTATATTTTAATTATTGAAATATTGCAAGCTGTAAGGCTGAATTTGGCTGAACATTAAATATATTATTATCAAAATCTAAATGTACGTACTAACCCAAGTTCGCAATAAAGTGTTTAATTTGATTTGATTTGAAATCCTTTATAACGATTAATAATAGTCAAACATAATAAATTGAATATATTTTGTATATAAAAAATAAATATTTGTAATAAGATTATAAATTCCTCAAGAAAAATAAAATCGTAAGTAATAATAATTCTTTGACAAAGTCGTCATGATCAAACGAATTGCATATAAGAATGGAGGCACAAGTACCTATATATATTATATTTACAAGTACCTTTATACTATATGTACAAGTACTGTACTTTATTTTTTTATAAATTGCCTTAAGAAGAGCTGCTTAAATCTTGGTATTCCTCCAACAAGAAATCTTAGACATTTGTAGCTTATCTACTAAGCTAAGCCATTAATCATCTATACAGATAAATAAAATTGAAGTGTCTGTTTGTAATGACAAAATAACAGAATTTTACTAAATGCATATGTCATTATATATGGTACTTATAAAATAAATACAATTTAAAAAAAAATTGTCTGTCTGTCTGTTTGAAACGACTGGACTGATTGAGACGGCACTTTCACTGGCAGATAGCTGATATTATAAGAAGTAACTTAGACTACTTTAATTTTAGAAAAAGATATATTAGGGTTCCGCTCAAATAAATTGAAACATATCTAGGGAAGCAGCCAAGCGAAGCGAGGGTAAGTCGCTAGTTTAAGAATAAATTAAATTAACCTGCAATGTACACCACACGATAAACAGTTTCAAAAAACAAAGTTTCTAGCTTTCCGCTTGATTGTTCCAAAGCTTTACATTGGGTAGCTTTTATCCATAGATTATAAAGAAACCGCATTTTGCCGACTAGGCTGTATAAGTGTGTGCAGAACAAGGAGCTCTACATTTATCTATGAACATGTACTTACAGACATTGTTTCCATTGCTCACCGAAAGAGATAAGTGAAATAAAATATGGCAGCATTTCATAATTGTTTATTGCATTTCATTTACTATACATATTTTAAAAGTTGATTTGCTGCAATTATATAAATCAAAAACCTATTAATTTGCTTTTTGTTATAACCCAAAGTCCTTGTCAGTTAGTACATAAACAGTATTTTCAGTAGGCCAATATAACCACAATATAAAAATCCATACAGTGGGCAAGCGCTAATTTTAATAGAAATGCTGTCAAAAATACCAATTTTCATGACAAATGTTAAAACGCTGTGTGGTGTCCATTAAGTGGCACGTTACAGCTTTATTCATCAACCCTAAAGCCGCTTCCCCAAAATGCCATGGAAAAATAAGTATAAGTATGACAATCGGTATCACATCATTGTAACTTTGTATCATAAAATTTAATACATGTATCTAATCTTTAAACGAATTTTTAAACACTCGGAAATATAAAAAAAGAAGTAAATTTCAGAAATTTTATGTATAAGTGACAATGAAAACAGTAAATGAGAAATAATAATTAACTACATATGGGTTAGTAATTACATGTTAGATGATGTATAACTATAAATCTGTTTTAATTACTAGCATTGGATATTCAATTCAACGACTCAAAGTCAAAAAGAATAATTGATTAATATCAGAAATGTATAGTGAAATGTTCTTACATTTCATTTATATTTTCATTTAAATTAAATTTCATATTAAAATATGCATTCAATTAAGAAAACACTGTATAACATCGTTAAAACGTATAACGTGTCATACTCTCTCACCAACTTTAATTTGTTGAACTCGTCAAAACAAAAAAAAAAGATTCCGACGAATTGAGAACCTCCTCCATTTTGAAAGTTGGTTAAAAAGTAATGAGGCTAAACTCGAAGAATTTACTTTCATGTCTTAATATCTGATGAAATCTATTTGATGGCTAATAAAAAAATCTTAAGGAGAGATGAATCACGTTTACTGGAAAGGTACAAAATAAGATTAAAACTAATCTTCTTGATTGAAAATATTACTTGTAACATATCAAAAATATTAACTAAAAAGGTCTTTATTTTTCTAAGATAACACTTCAAAGGTTTTCTTAAATAATACAAGTAGTAAATAATTTGCCAAAACATTGTGAAAGAAAGTGGGAGGTAAATTTCTAAGCGTAGTGCTTCTATATAATTTAAGGTAAATAAGTTTCAAAATCACCATATTCTTGTACAATGTAACCTTTAAATGTGCTAGGTACTTTTGTTGATGTACATATATTTATTCCGTTTATGTAAATGCTTACAATTTACATTTTCGTCTTACATAGGTACTTTAATATTATTTCCATATTTGAAAAAATAAATAAATATATAATACACTTGATGTAAGTTATAAAGTATATTTAGTATAATAAAAACATATTTGAAAACCATTTTATTATTTATACTATGATTTCATCACTATAAAGGTCAAACGCATATATAAACATAAACTCGCAAAAAGTTTCACATTTCCCTATCCACGTTGCCACCCATGTGCGAAAATATAATATAAAATACAACAGTATCAAACAAAGAAAAATATTTTACAATTGGAACTATTTTGCTCTACTGCCTCGGTGGTGTAGTGGCTAGCATGTACGGCTGCACACCCGGAGGTCCTGGGTTCAAGTCCCGGGTCAGGCCAAGTTTAGTTATTGAGTCTTTCTGTATTTTAAGCCCCAGTAACAGCCCGGAGTTGGGAAGTTGGCGGAGTCTCACCCCCGTGCCTCGGAGAACACGTAAATCCGTCGGTCCTGCGCCTTAACTCTCACTGGCCGTGTTGAGTGGTAGTCCCACCGGAGTATGAGAGTAATAGGAATGGAGAGTGCACGTTGTGTCTGCGCGTACACTTGTGCACTATAATATCTCCTGCGCAGTTGGCTAGTCTCAATGAGATTGGCCGCCGTGGCCGAAATCGGTTAGGAGAACATCATCATTTTGCTCTACAAATTACGAGCACATCTGAAAGCTCACAATTTTTCTACATTACAAGTATCTAATCTAATAGAAATATGTAATGGGAGGGTAATGATTATATTATTTTAATAATAGAAAATAGATTCTTTATTCTTATACATATAACTTTAAAATATATTGTATATAACAGGTTTTTATGAGATATTTCAAATGTAAGAAGTACGTTTAATAATGGCTATTATTTTATTATTAACCAACCGTCGATCGTTGAATCGTTATCTAAGAAAAGCCAGGAAAGAAATAAATTAAAAAACTGTTAGTGCTTTTCCCAACTTTCCACGTGACTATTCTAAGGCTTTATAGTACGTTGAGTTTGTTCACAAGCAAGAATTTCCATCATTTCAGTAAATGTAAAGCTAAGATTATTTAAAGTGAGTTTCTCAAATAAGCTCATATTTTTTTACTAAACATTAATCTCGAAAACGATTGTCGGACTGAATCGTTTCTTTATATTTTATATGTACATTGTACATGTATTCTATGCATATGTACATATAATAAAATGGTAACTAAGCCGAATCTGTACATTAAACATTTTTTGGAAAGTCTCATCGAAATAAACATTATTATCGATCCAGAGGCCGAATCTATAGTTTTTAGAATTTTTGTCTGTCTGTCTGTTACCGCATCACAGGAAAACCACTTGAGGGATTTTGATGAAATTTAGTATGGTGATAGCTAATTATCTTTTTTTTTTAACGTTGGGAAATGCATTTACGCACGATGTGTGGGACTCACCGGCAAAGCCAGTACTACACACTAAAACCCAACAAAGCCTTCCCCCGTCTTAATGAGGCGTCGCAGGATCGCTTACGCATTCAACTACGACGCACCGACGGCAAGTCTGCCGAAGCAGACCACAACAACCACGGGGTCCACTCTGCTATCAGAGAAGTACCAGGAGCAACCCGCATGGTTCACCGCCCTCCGAAGAGGGCGCCTCCCACCGCCCACCGAAGTGGGCCACCTCCCTGTGCGTTTCTTGGCTTCGCGCCCGGTTGGGTTGCCGGGCACTACTGAGCCCCCCCACCACGACAAGGTGAACGCACGTTGGGGGGGGGGGGGTGATAGCTAATTATCTGGGTCAACATATAGGATACTTTTTACCGCAGGAAAATATCTTCTTTCTGAGAAAAAATACAAAAACTGTAATGTAAGAGTATACTAATATGTAAAACCTAAGAACTTGGTTTTTGGTTATCTGAACGCGGGCGGAGCCGCGGGCAATGCTAGTGAGTTATATGTATTTAAAACACCCCTTTGTCTTATCTGGGACATGTTTGGACACAAACATCAAACCAGGGATCTTTATCTTTGGTAGTCAACAGTGCAGTATACACTCTACTACGTTAAATAATAGACCTAACCTTATTTTTTATGAATATAAAGAGAATTCCATATTGACGAACAAATAACACCTCTAAAAGTCCAATTAGTTGCTTATAAGATGGCTTTAAGTCGGCGTGACTTTTTATTTTATAAGCAAGACCTTACACTGACTTCATAATAATTATTCTCCGTATTGATATAGTTTTGATAATAAAAGTATC